TGGCCACACGGCTTCCAGTCCCCACTTACTGCTGAGCACTCGACTCTGGCTTCCACTCTTCCCTTTCATAACATGGGGACAAAACTCATCCATTATAAATGAAAGAATTACGGGTGAGCTGTACAGGGGAGCGGTGCACACGGAGAGCCCATAAATAGCTGAGATGATTGCTACTCTGACTCTACGCACGCCAGTTAGCTTCATCTTCAAGGGGGACTTAGGGAAGTCAAGGGAAGTGATAATTTCAACAGCTCACGTCTCAAGGAACAGATCCATGGCCAGGCCCCTAGTAAGCGTTAGAGCTCTCTGCAATTCTCTACGGACACAGGCACACCTCTGAGAAAGCCAAGAGGCAGGTCCCCCCCCCCCCCCCCGTGAAGGAGCAAAGGTTAACGAGGGGCTGGCACTCAGGCGTAGTGGGCTAAGCCTCCACCTGCAGAGCCGACATCCCATATGGACACCGGTTCAACTCCCAGCTGCTCTTCTTCCGATGCAGCTCTCTGCTATGGCCTGGGAAAGCAGTTGAAGATGGCCCAAGTCTTTGGGCCCCTACACCCATGTGGGAGATCTGGAATAAGCTCTTGGCTCTTGGCTTCAGGTCGGCGGAGCTCTGGCCATTGCAGCCAATGCAGCCAATTGGGGAGTGAACCAGCAGTTGGAAGACCTCTCTCTCCATCTCTGCCTCTCCCTCTCTGTGTAACTCTATCAAATAAATAAATAAATAAATAGGTTAATGAAATAACTCATCTTGGGCATCTTGTGAGCTGGGAAACTGCTGGGCCTAGGGACTCCTACTGCATAGGGACCACACATCTCCAAATAGCAGTGTTTGGATCACCCTGGACTCTAGAAGCCGGGCCTATGCTTTCTGGATATGTTGTTGTAAAAAAAAATTTTTTTAAGACAAAAAAAACAATGTGTGTTTTTGAAATAAATGTAATAACCACAAGGCCAGGCACCATAAGCTCTGTGGATTTAGAAAGATCAGACTATAAAATGCTGAAACTCCTCCATACACATCTCAGAGAAGGCCGTCCATTCCTCTCCCATAAAAATAAATAAAAATGCGATCACCAATATGGTAACCCAAAACAAAGGGACTAAAGAAAAACACAGGCTGACCCAAAAAGCTGAGAGGAGTATTACAGTCCATGGGAGCATTGCAGACGGCAGCTGCACACTGTTCCCAGACACTCTGATAATGGAGAACGTAATTAGTTTTCCTCGGCAAAGAAAAATAGAAGAACCGATGAGGTCAAAACCCATAAATTAATTCAATTCAATGAGTGTTTGTTTGAATAAATCCCATGTACTTGAAACTGAGGGTCACAGACGACGTAAAAGACACAGACAAAAGGCCTGAAGGGTGCTCAGGCGATCACCTGCTCATTCGTTCACGCATCTATTACATATTTATGATGCTCTGAGTGCCTGGGCACTGAGTATGGGCAAAGCTCTGGGGAGGCAGGGAAATACACACAGTGTCTGAACACATGGTCTGCCTGTAAGAGAGGTGGCAGCTGAGCCAGCCCACCGTAGTTCTCACCACGGAAAAAGATAACAGGACAGGCGGGCGGTGTGCAACAGAGCAGGTGGAGCGAGATGGAACACTTTCTAAGGTCAAGGCATTCATAGCACTTATTCAGGCAGGTAGAACTCTGGCAACGAGAGCAAAGGAGAGAATTCCTGACGGAGGGGACATCGTGCGTAATGGCGCAGTCCCCCAAACACCACTGGCCAGTGACAGTGGACTGGTAGTTCTTCAAAAGTCTTTGGAAAAGTGAGGAAGACACAGGTAAAGAGTAGTGAGATTTTCATACTGCACGTGCATTAATGGCCTTTATTCTGAAATGCGTCCTTTCTACTTCCTGAGGTTAACACAGAAGTAATTTTATGAAATGGTGCTCTCTCCTAACGACCTTGCCTGCCAAAACACAAAATTATTTATTTGGCAGTTTTCTGGTTGATTAAATCCCAAATTTGGGGAACTCTGAACAGGTTGTATTAGCACAGCCACCACTACTTGGCATGATCCATAAGCAGAGTACACACGGCAGATAAATCTGCAGAGTTTACATCGGAGATTGAATTCAGAAAGTCTGCAGGGACCCATGCTGAAGGGAATGAGACTAAGAAATTTAGATTTAATCCCTGTAGGCAGAAAGGGGGAGGGTGACCTTCAAAAGGGTGAGGCATGAGCAGGTGTTCAGAGAGCAAGGCACTTACTTTGTCTGGTGCTCCAGAGAAAAATGCTGATGCCGGTAACCCCACCCCCACCTACCCAGACTTGTGGGCACTTAAGTCAAATCTAGATGAGCTGATGAAATTCTCCATAAATCCTAGGGTAATATCTAGAGGGTCAATGTCGGGTCCGCAGGCTCCTCTAAATAAATGATATCTACTAACCGGCCTTCAAATCCCGCCTCCTGGCTCCTTTTCCTGGGACACTCTTGGTCAGGACACTGGGCCAGAGGGTCCTCTTGATGGGATGTGAAGTAATGAAAGCAGGCCCATCCTTGGGTTCTGCACATCTTCCCACAGACTGTGATGTTTATTGGTGACAGGAGAACAGCTCCAAACAATTTTCCAAATTAATTTTTAAGAGTTATTAACATTTAGAATTTATACAGTAGAGTTAACACATTTTTAGAGTTCAAAAAGAATTCTCAGTGAAAGAGGCCTGGCTGCTGGGCAATACTGGCAAGAGAACAATGTCTCCTTTTGTACATGGACACATGCACGGTTCTGAAATTCCCACAATTGTCAGGAAAGACACTTTTTTTAATAAGTGCATCATCAGTGTAGTGGGGAATTAGCCATGACTTTCAACTCCGCTTGTTGGTAAATATAAATTACTTTAGTCATTTCCAGATTAACTAAAAAGCAGATTATGTTAAGTAGGGGCATAACAGAAATGGAAAAAATACAAATTTATAAAAATAATTTGATATTTAGTTTCCTGAAAAGCCTTGAAGCAATTATTGTGAAAATTCCACACTTTACTAAATCATATTCTTTTTTTAATCATTTTTTTATTTAGTAAATATAAATTTCCAAAGTACAGTTTATGGATTACGATGGCTTCCCCCCCATAATTTTCCTCCCACTCGCACCCCTCCCATCTCCCGCTCCCTCTCCCATTCCATTCACATCAAGATTCATTTTCAATTATCTTTATATACAGAAGATCGACTAAATCATATTCTTTTTGATGCTTACATCTTCCCAAAAGTTTTAATCAGAACTTTTTTTATTAACTAACTTGGCAAAAAAAAAATTAGTTTTTTCCAGGTTACTGATACAACTCTTTGCTGTACAGAGATGAGAATCCTCACTGACAATATTTTATGTGATATTTTCTGAACAACTTTAATTTCAGACCTATCTGTATTCTCTCCAGCTCAAATATGAATCATTCATAAATGTGCTGGTATACTCACAGCTCATGATTAAGAGGTTCCAAAGGCAGGCTATTCTGAAAAGGAATACCAGCCTATCTCTTACTGCATATGAGGCTGTGGCCATGTTTGATATCCTCTGTAAGCCCCAGTTTCCTCAACTGGAAAACAGCATTAAGATAGTGCCTGCTCATACATTAACAGAGAGAACTGAGATCATACTGATAAATCCCTTGGCATGGAAACTGTCAACATTTCTCAAAGTTCACCTTGATTATGATACTCATGTGAGTTCATTTCTTCAATTTGTAGTGAAAATGGGTGAGATAACAGGACAAGAAAGCTCAGAGCACTGAGGCCATCAGATAAACACACTTCAGTTTGGCCAATAAAGCAAAAGGAAGAAACACTGGAGGAGTTATTTCCACACGTTAGAAACCATCAGGGCTAGAAAACGGGACAGGATCCAAAGGACAGGATTCTACCTGGTGCCAAGGGCCTGCGTGTCCATGTGTCCCTGAAATCATCCTATTTCCGTGAACCAAAACAACAAAGCTAGATATCCCCAATGTTCAACAACAAAGAACCATTGGAATACGTACTTAATGCTACCACACTGATGAATTTATGCATAAGCTCACCTTGCCAAATTTTATAGTAAGTGCTTTAAATTTCACACAGGTGCTGTTATAGCTGGAATGTGCTAAGAATGCATACGGAGCCAAGGGCATGTGTTGCCAGCGGGCAGGTATCCCGGGCCATATGGACTGACCAATCAGTGGTCAGAGACCTGGCACCAGCAGACATGCTCTACTTCTGCCCTGGTATTTGCTCATAACGCAAAGTTAGAGATTTCCATTTTACGAAATGTCTGTGATAGTTGCTGCATGTCTATGTTGCAAAGCATTGTGGGGCTTAGCATGCACATGGAGTATGCCCTTGGTGATCCTTACAGTACTGAGTATACTGTAAGTGCTGAGCTGAGAAGGGATGAAGGAAGGACTAAGGGAGTCAGGAACCTCTAGGATCCATCCAAACCTTGCTAGCTCTGGAACACCAGTAACCACGCACACAGGACCAGAGCAGAGGAACTGACAACGTGGCTATGTGACAACAGTCTAGCCTTATACTCTTTTTTTTTTTTTTTTTTTGACAGGCAGAGTGGACAGTGAGAGAGAGAGAGACAGAGAGAAAGGTCTTCCTTTTGCCTTTGGTTCACCCTCCAATGGCCGCCGCAGCCAGTGTGCTGCGGCCGGTGCACCGCGCTGATCCCATGGCAGGAGCCAGGTATTTATCCTGGTCTCCCATGGGGTGCAGGGCCCAAGTACTTGGGCCATCCTCTACTGCACTCCCTGGCCACAGCAGAGAGCTGGCCTGGAAGAGGGGCAACCCGGACAGAATCCGGTGCCCCGACCGGGACTAGAACCCGGTGTGCCGGCGCCACAAGGCGGAGGATTAGCCTAGTGAGCCACGGCGCCAGCCCTAGCCTTACACTCTTGCCCTACCCTCCTCCACACACATCAGTACTAGCATTCATCATAGCCTTCAAGCCATCAAAATGCTCTCAGGTAGAGTTATCCCACATAATTGAACTATACCAACCCAAAAGGGAGACGGAAGTTTGCCAGCATGTCACTTAACATGAGTCTTCAGCCTCTTAATTCACGCCATGGTGGTGACGGCTTGCACTGGAGCACCTAGAGAGAGGGACACTTGAACACAACTCAACACATAAGTGCGCCAAAAGCTATGGAGACACACTGAGCCCACCTCACAACTGGGGGTGGAGGGTGGGGAGGAGAACATCAAAAGAAAAAATAATGAAATGTAACTGGTTCAACCATCAGAAGAAAACTCAGTTCCAGCCCAGATTCCACGACGGAGTGCGAGTGCCTCAGTAGTGTAAAATGTGCCTGTTCACCTCGTTTTGAACAGGGGCATGGGAGCCTCAAATCTGATTCACTGTGCATTTTCCTTCTCTTCAATCCACTCTATGACTGCCTTGTCCCAGACGGTCTGCGGCTGAGTCCCTTGGACCTGCCCCTTGTCTGTACTCTCCACTGGGCTCTTGGCACAACTGTGTCTTAACTCACATCTCTGCCCGTGCCCATCACGTCCCTGTCACGTGCACGTTCTTCCTCAGTTATCAGATTGCTTCCCTGTTCCAGAGCTGATGGTGGTTCACAAACTCCCACTGAGCCTCACCCTCACTGCCCAAGATGTTCTAGCATTTCTCCCACCCACACAGCTGCTGCACCAACCATTTAGCACCAACTCCCAACCAGAAATCCGCTCTCACGCTCATTCCCAGGCTGAGAATACAGCATTCCCGCGGCTCCACCGAGTCGGATTCAGGCTAGCTTCCTTCCAGGGTAGCTCAGTACCCTTCTCTGCTCCCAAGGACCATGATGTAGCTGTCTGACACCTGGAAGTCAAGGGCTGCACCTTTCACTGTCTCTGTATTCTCCCTTGCAACCATCATCACAATGGGGCTCAGTGATCATTTGCTGAATAAAAGCAAATATAACAAGCTGAGTAGTAAGTCCATCTTTTCCCAAGGAAGAACTTTCTATTTTTGTCCTTTTGACTGCTCCTTATCCATCTCCATCCCAACCACCCATTACAGATCTGTTTTACTCACAAGGACTTGGGTTAGACCAATTAATCTTTCCCCCAAGTACAATTCATGCAAAATTCCTACTGCTGGAGGAAAAATAGAGCAAAAGTAACACACTCCAATTTTTAAAGCCTGGAGAAGCTGTTTCCTCTCTTCTGAACAGAACGTCTAGTTTGCCTCTTGCTTTTCATTTCCCCACAAAAATCCAAACTATTTTCTTTCCCTCCCTCCTGTACTCCCTCCTGAAATAATGACATTTCCAGAAACCGGATTCATTTGACTTAAGCATCTCACAGTGAGCTGTGCTTCCTGTCCAACCGAGGGCCTTATGGAAGCCGAGCGCAAGCAGAGAAGGCACAGCAGAAGGCCTTGAAGTAATGGGGGAAGGGAGATCTTTGGAGCAATCCAGAAAAGGGACACAGAGTCAAGGGCAAACAAAGGCTCATCCCCCACCCCCTCAGATGGAGGCAACACTGAGTGGTGCAGCAGTCTGTTTTCTTCAAGGCAGAAGTCCACCAGCCCCCTGGCTTCCAGGCACCTTAATGGCATCTTTGCATGCTTATAAACCAACCGCAGATTTCTACTGCGACAATTATGGCAGGAAGCACTGTGGGATGGGGTTGCGGGAGCAGATTGATAACACCCAGGGGAGGAGTGCAGAAGCACCCAAAATCATTGGGAGACAGCACCTGGCAGATAAACTGGAGGTCACACAATCCTGAGTTTGAGGCTCTGCTTGGCCACTCGCTACCTCTCTGAGCTGCGCCCTCCACATAAGTCAGGAAGTAGCCCGAGGTCACCAAGCTAGAAGATTTAACTTGGAAGAGAAAAAGGGATGGGGAGAGAGAGAGACAAAACCAGAGAGCGGGAGAATGCGGGTGCGGGGAGGAGTGAAGGGAAGAGACAGAAATCCAGCACTGAAATTCTTGAACAAACACTAAAAGCACACACATTAAAGAACACAAAACAAAAGAAGTACTAGAAAGGAAAAAAATTATCATTATTTATAATTATGTTTAAGTATAAATTTGGAAAATGCAAAAGGATAATAACACACACACACACACACACCCCAAAATTTCAGCAAAGTCTCCAGCTGGAAATACACACTAATGACTGCCCTACACATAAACAATAATCACTTATCAATAATGATGAAAATAAAATGCTATTTGGCATAATACTAGAAGCATCAGAAACAGATATTTAAGAATAAGCTCAACAAAAGATGTATAGAATCTATGGGAGAAAAACTAAACACTCTAGAGAAATAAAATAAGGCGTACACAAAACCACTATAATCCAAAAGTTGTACTTTCAAAATTTATATTTATTAAATAAAAGTTTAAAAATAAAAGACATACTGTATGATATAGATCTCTTGTGTTCCCTTGTCCTGGAACATAGGGTTTGGTTTTCCCTGTTCATATGGTGTGCTTTGGTTAATGTATTACTGTGCCTATGTGCTTGCTAGCTTATAGAATTTTTAATACCCTCTAATAAATAGTGCTGGCCTGGCCAAGAGCTATCTGGCGGCACTCTCTTCTAATGGAAAAAAAATAAGAAGTACACAAGGAAATTTATCCCATTCTTGGACAATAAGTTTTATTACATATATATGTACATACATATATAGGACAATAAATTTTATTTTATATATATATATGCACACACATATATATATAAATATGATAGGAAAGCCAAGAAAATTCTGACAAACGAACAGTGACTTGCCCTCTCAGATAATAAAATGTCTTCTAAAGCTACAGTAATGCATACAGTATGGCTTTGTAATCAAACTAGTGAGACGAACCTATGGAAGAAAAGTGAGACTTCCAAGATCAATCCTCAAACACAGGATTATCAAGTATGAATAAACTTGACATTCGAAATCAGTGAGGAGAGATGAGTTGTTTTCATTATAGGAATGATGGCAGAGTATCATTGGAAAAAAAAAATAGAAACTTGACCTCAGTCTTAAGAACCAATCACATGAAGATTGCAACCTTAAATGCATAAAGCCAAGCCACAAAAACAGCAAATGAAAATGTTTTGGCATGAAAGGATCATGAAGCTAAGGTTTTAAAAGCAACCAAAGGGAAAAAAAATCATTTGACAGCCTGATCATTTAAAAATCTTCACAGGACAAGTATTTTTAAAACATAAACGAAAGCAAAATCAAAAGATAAATTGGGGCCGGTGCCGTGGCTCAATAGGCTAATCCTCCACCTAGCGGCACCGGCACACCGGGTTCTAGTCCTGGTCGGGGCGCCGGATTCTGTCCTGGTTGCCCCTCTTCCAGGCCAGCTCTCTGCTGTGGCCAGGGAATGCAGTAGAGGATGGCCCAAGTGCTTGGGCCATGCACCCCATGGGAGACCAGGAGAAGCACCTGGCTCCTGCCATCGGATCAGCGCAGTGCGATGGCGGCAGCGGCCATTGGAGGGTGAACCAAAGGCAAAAGGAAGACCTTTCTCTCTGTCTCTCTCTCTCACTGTCCACTCTGCCTGTCAAAAAAAAAAAAAAAAAAAAGGATAAATTGGGGGAAATACTGGCAGATTTCACAAAAGAGCTTAAGTCCTTTATTAAAAAAAAAAAAAATTCTACTTGGGTACCCAGAAAGGACAGGAGCTGCACAGCTGAGCACACGGACGTTCCTGGATGGCGGCGCCGAAGGGAACACAGGAGCTCTGAGACTCCTCCTCCCTCACCCTGAGCAGCTCACCTGCATATGTACATGTGTATTCCTCACGATCTCTCTTCGAATAAACCAAGCAGAGAGGTCAGGATTTGGCCTGGCAGTTAAAACGCCACCTGGGACACCCATATCCCACATGTGAATGCCTGGTTCAAGTCACAGCCGTTCTGCCTTTCTGTTCTATGAAGATAAACTTTTCCAAAAACAAGTATGTTGCGCCCTACCCGGAGATGCTCTCTTTAAGGAGCTCTCCCATGGAGACAGCTGCAGACGCCAGAAAAGATAAGGACTTTTAAAGGCATTTTTATTTAAAAAATAAAAATAAAAATAAAAAGGGGGAGGGGGTGGGGGAGAAACACTACGAGCACCCTAACGCGGAATTTTCTACTCTTCCTTCTTTTATTCTGTGATGAGCGAGTATTGCTTGGTACGTCACATACTAAGCCAGGTGTCTACTGGCAAGAGCGCCAAGAGGGGCGGAGAAGGATGCTGGCGAAAACAACGGATGCCAGGATTTGGTTATACTTGGTCAGTATGTACCCGTTACCTAGGACTTTACACTCGGCGGCTGAAAACAACCAAGGCCTGTTTGCTCCCACTGTCTGTGGCTCAGCAGTATCTGGAGGGAGGGTTCGAGAGCGGCATCTCTCTCCAAGCAGAGACCAGGGGCGCCCCAGGCTGTGCGGCAGCAGCCGGAAGTCGCAGGGTTCACTTCCGGGCCGTGGCTGCCCTGGGCCCCGTCCCTCGCTGTCGCCTGGGCCTCTGCACAGACAGCGTGAGAAAGGGTCCCAACACCAGAAAACAGCGTCTGTTCATCACCTAACCTCAGAAGCAGCTGCCACCACGTGTGCAGGACGCTATGCTGTTAGGTGAACCACTCACGGGGACCCACACTCAGCGGGAGAAATGACACAGGACGGCAACGCCAGGAGGCGAGGCTCCCCGGAAGCCATCTTAGAGGAGGAGAATCCTTAGGTGTGTTCCGGGGGCGGGCAGAAGGGCATCATATCTTGTATCTGTATGAAGGTGTAGGTGTAATGTCTTACATGGGGCAGTGCTATCTCATACAGAGAGAGGGGCGGGCCTTTTACACAGCGCGAGAGAGAGAGAGAGGGATTGTATCTTATACAGCAGGAAGCAGGTATTCTACAGGTAGATGGGCATTATATTTCACATAAACAGAGAGAGGTGGGGTTTGGCCCTGTGGTTGGGACACTGCGTGGAACACCCACATCCTGTCTCAGAGTGCCTGGGTACCACTGCTAACTGTGCTTCCAGTTCCAGCCTTCTGCTGATGCACACCCTGCGAAGCAGCAGGGTCCCTGTCACTGGGTCAAAATGTTTTTCAATGCTTTGTAACTCATAGACAGCAGGAGGATTACACATCCCAGCTTGTTTGAAATAGGCCTAGTTTATGCCTGTTGTCTGAAATAATCACAGCGTTTTACCTCAAAGTATCCCAGCTTGGATAATAAGTTAGACTCTGAATAGAAAAACACCTGGAAGGATGAACATCAGAACATCAGCATTTATCTCCAGGGACTGAGATGGAAGAGGCTTTTTAAAAAATGTTTACTTACTTATTTTCATCTATTTGAAAGGCAATGAGACAGAGACAGAGACAGATCAATCTTCCATTTGCTGGTTCACTGCCCAAATGCCCACAACATCCATGGCTGGGTCAAGCCAAAGGCAGGAGGCCCAAACTCCATCCATATCTCCCACATGGGTGGCATGGACCCAAGAACACAAGCCGACATCTGCTGCCTCCCGGGATGCATTAACAGAAAGTTAAATTAGAAGCAGAAATACGGGCACTGGAACCAGACACTTGAGCCATGGGGTGTGTGTCGCAGGTGGTGGCCTAGCCTGATGCACCCCAATTCCTGCCTAAGAAGGTATTTTATATGTGCATAATTCACTTGCATAAATCTTTAGCTTTTATCACAATTCATTTTAACAAAAAAAATTCATATTCGATCTCTACAGCATCTGTCTGAATCATTCCAAACATTACCACATCGGTTCCATTTCAGAAACAGTGACTAAAGCCAGGAGAAAAGTCCCTGGGGGTTCAGCAGTGGGGAGAAACTGAAGAATTTGCCTCCCCACTGGCACAGCAAGTCCACATGCAGTTCCATTTCTGCTTCTCCCTCATCACGGTAGGGTGGATCTCGTTACCTGGCATCCATCACCCAGATAGAAAGGTGAGTGAAACCAGGGGCCAAAGACAGCTAGACAGATAGGAAAGCAAATGTACTCCAAAGCCAAGCCACTGGGCTGACTCAGAAACGTCCGACAAACGTAGAAGAGGAGGGGACACCCTCCCTCCCCATGATTGGGCCTCACTGCTTTATCTGTAGGGTCCTTGAGGAGGGACTGACACAAACAGTCCTTGGTTTCAATAACAGTGAACTTGAAGTATTAAATCACCTTTACAGACTGAAATTTAACCATCTGAAATTCATTCCTCTTAATACATTGCAATGTAAGAGGCATCAGACTTTGACTCAAAGCCCTGAGTGTGAATGTTGCTCTCCCTGCAAAGGCCCAGCACAGGAAGTCCAGGAGCTCTGGACCTAGAGTGGCCATCTGCCACCAGTGCGACCTTAAACAAGGTCCTGGTGCACTTCGTAGCAGCGTCTTCACCTTAAAGAGGACCCTGTCATGGAGCTGCGGTGGTGGCACATCCATAAAGCACTCAGGAGAGGGGTCACACACAGTAGCCTCCCATTCAATGCTACAGTACGTCACACTGAC